AGGTTGCCAAGCTAGGCCAGCAGTATGCCAAGTTACTCGGTCACCAGAACAAGAAGCAAAAGATACATCATGTTGTAAAGCTTAAGGAGGAGAATAACAGTCTCAAAGCTGTGAGTACTCTCAAGCAACATAAGATACAGTCTATGGCTGCACGTTCCTACTTTTGTATAGCTGTTGAGTATTGCAGTAAAAAAGCAATGTGGTGTAAAATGCAGAGGGGTTAGTGAACAACTCTTGTCGATGCCAGAATTGTGGCAAAAGGAGAACTTGGTTAGAACAGAGTTTGTACACCGGTCAATTGACAGGCTGGGGACTGGGCGAGAAATTAATAGAAGAGGTACACCATCAACTGTGTCAAATGAATTTTTATACAAAACTTCGCCTCTTCGTACGCTTTGCGTACCTAGCGAAGTGAATCTCGTGTCAGAGGGTGTAAGGTTCGACCCCTGGCCGCATGATTTTTTTTGTTTTTGTATTTCTTTTCTTTCTCCTTTTTTCCTTGGGATTTACGTTCTTCTTTACAAAATATGTTGGATATGTTCCGAGTAAAACGCACATGCGAGAACGTTTGAAGACTTAGCTCTTTCGTTCAAATCGATAACAAGTCGAAACTCAGTGACACCCTGAACTATGGCGTTCAATCCCCGCCAAAATTCAAGTCTTGTTTTAAATATTCAAGTTTAATTTTCAATATACGAGGTTTATCTCAACATTTATTCAAGTTTTATTTTCAACATTCAAGTTTTTGATTTGAAGTTCACGCTTGACTGTCTTGGTCATGCAAGCGCACGTTGCGAGCGTCTCACGATAGTCCGCCATTTTGAAAACCGTGGGGGGCTTGTGGAAAGGTTTACACAACACCATAACGTAGTGCCTACGGCCTTCCTGGAAGGAAACACAATAGGCACGAAAATGCTCCCTTCCCCTCCCATGCACATCACATTCTACCGCTTCTCTTGACGACGGGCCAGACCTAGGGAGGCTCGCGACAATCCCTCCCCACCCTCCTCGAAGTTAAAGAACTTACGTCGCCCTCTCACGTTCTTAACAAGATTTAACCTTAGTTGGTCATTTGCAATCCTTGTAAAACATTCCTATCCTTAATCATCCTTTTTCGTTTTTTGCTGCATTCCTGCCTCTTTGGTGTTTGTCTACACACTTTTGCGAAAATGGTTCTCGATTAGTTTAATTAAACGTTGGAGAACAATTTTTTGATCGCACAAAGTAGGTCCTTCCATCGAAGAGGATCTCTGCCCTGTTTTGTGGTCACATGATACTGAGTTCTGTTGAAAAGATTGCGACAGGTGATCGAATTGTGTTCAAGTGTATGGCCGTGCTCGCAAGCCAACTCTGTTATTGAAAAAGCACTTGGATTCTGCTAAAGGACTAGTAATTTTGAAGGAAATATCAGATAATCTGACGAACTTTAGGTATATCAGACATTTGATCGCTACAAACTCGATTCTGTCTTATCGTCGGGTCAGAGTTGTTGCAGAAGAGTGTTCGTCCAATTACGGGTTAATTTGTCGATGTATATGTGGAGTCACGACGGCAGACGTTATATCAAAGTGGAATTTCTTATCAAGCCCGCTTCGCGAGGACAAAAAACCTTCTATATAAGCACAGAAACCAAACGAAGGAATAATTTCCAGAAATCGTTGTAAGACTCAAATATTCGCTACAAGTGATGACAGAGAGAAGCGATTGCATTGATGCGAGCTGAGGTAAGAGAGACAACTCATAGCGAGATAAATCCATGGGAATTTTGATCAGTTATGAAACTGATGAAAGGAGAATGACATTCTATGCAATATTTTACGGGCCATACGAATCCAGGAAATTCAGACCTAAATACAGTTCAGTGATATGGGCGATAGACAGACGTTCGGGTGAAAAATTCCACTTTCATCGCTGCTGGCATTTGTTTGTTTTGATTTGTTTGTTTTTTTTGTTGGATTCTGGCCAGTGTTTGAGACCAGACATTTGAACACAGTTGGAAATTTTTGTCCGTACTCTATGACATACGAGAGAGTGCATGACACTCAGTCACAAAACTCCGCGAAATAGAGCTCACACAAGAATCAATGACATCTGCGTACTAGAATTCATTCGTTCATTCGTGCTTGTTACCCAAATTATATATCAAATTGTTCCATACGCTTGTTTAAGAGTACGCTCGAGACTTTCTACCTATCAGGATTTTTGTAATTGATACTTTAAAAACCCTTGCTTCCAGCATATTTCTTAACCAAGCACGGTGACCTATCTTTTTCATTGTATTTTTTGAAATTATAACAGACATTGGTAGGGAACATTACAGGAAAGTTTAAAAAAATTGTTCGATGAATTTCATTTTCTGAGTATTGTAGATATGAATCAATCGGCGATTGAAACAAATTCAACAGTGTCTTCGGAGTTCTTCACCCAAGTTTCGTTACTAAAACAACTCTGGTTGTATGTTA